CCCTCCAAAATAAAAAAAAAAATTGTCAACTTTTACAACCTGAGGAAATAATTCTTGATAAACCTTTTTCCATTTCTTTAGTTTTTGCATTAATTTCGTCAACGGCAATACTTACATATATAGTGATGCAGAGGATAAATTTAGCCGGGGTTTATAACTGTGAATTATATTGTTGTAAAGTTCATATCCCTGTAAAATTAAAATTTTGATGTTTTAAGTCGAGTGAATGTCAGCCATGACGAGGTAGTGGAGTAGAGCATGTGTTTTGTGTGGTTAAAATACAGCATTTTTTGACCATTTAAGTAAAAGAAAAAGTGACAACACTGAAGTGAGAGGTGTGCCTGGTTTGGTTTGCGTCAGTTTTCACCCATATTGTCGGTGACGGGTGTGTCAAACTTTAGCGTTGTCGGCCAACTTCCGCATTTTTAAGGATGAAACGTTTGATTTAGACGGTAAGTCAACGGGATTCTTTGCATCGTCAAACATAGACGGCACTCCGCGTCCTGTAGTCACATAGCCAAGCCCCGGTCTGTTGTCCGAGTCATTAGATGAGAGTAAAATCATATTAAATTAATTATTCAGTAATTGGAATAAAATGATTTGATTTAATTAATTTATTTCAAATATTTAATTTAATTAATTTTTTGATCAGTTTTCGATTCTAACACTTTTAGATCAATTCATATTATATATATTAATATATATAATATTTTTCATATATATTAAGAAAAATTGATGATAAACTTAATGAATAATATGTTTAAAATTTATTAATTGATTATATATACGTATACAAATCATAAATATATTAATTTTAGTTATATATTTATTTATAAATTTGTATTAATATGAAATTATAAGTTATATATTCTAAATTGTATAATTTATATGTTAATATTATAATATATGATAGTAATATGTTGTAATTATTACATGGTAATAGTTCGTAATATAAAATGTTATAAATATATACAATTGTATAGATATTATATATATTTAATTTATATATAATTATTACTATAACTTATAATAAACTTTATTTAGATGATTATACTTAATAACTTTATTAATTATCACCTTCGCTTTTATAACATATTATATATAGTTAGTCAAAAGATCTATACAGTCCCTATACTCTTTTATTTTATCCAATTTAGTTTTTGTATTCAAAATCGAAATAATTTAATTTGTTGATTTTAAGAATTTTTTTAATTTAGTCTTTCCCCCTGGAGGCATCCAATTTTATCGTTAAAGGGGTTGACGTTAGTGCTAATGTCATCGTTGACATAGCATGTCACGTGGCATTGATAATAACGTGGCCATGTTGACGTGAAGCTAGCATGCTGATATGTCAATGCCACGTGGCAGATTAAAAAATTTTCAAAATAAAAAATTTTACCACATCATAGGAACTAAATTAAATAAAAATATATAGTACAGTGGTTAAATTAACAAAATTAAGATATTGATGGACTCAATTCAAAAAAAATATTTAAAAAATATAAATCTTTAAGTAGATTATTGACATGCTTATTAACAAGTGTAAAAGATTTATGGTGTTAAAAAATATATAAATATTTTTTTACTTGATTACTTAATTTTAGAATATGTACATTAATTTATCTTTTTTACAAAAATTAAGTTTGAATTCTTCTTCTATAAATTTTTTTTTAAAAAAATTCATATTTAAAGTCAAATTTAAATGAATAACTTGCATTACGTTATAATAAAATAATATAAAATGACTAAATAAATTTTTTTCTCCTATTTATAATAGTATAAATTTGAAATTTATTTAACTTAGTTTTTAACTTGAGGTGAACTCAAATTAGCAAAATAGGCTGATTTAGTTTTTTTTTTTTAAAAAAAAATGAAGAATGGAGGTATGGAGTTAATGATGATTATAAAAATAATTTCTCATTTTAACTTGCTTAATTTCAACATGAAAAATTTCTTATTATAACTATAGAATCTGAGCTTCACCTTTTCAATTATTTATTTTTTTTGTGTTTTTATTTTGTTTAATGTTTCAAGTTATATTTTTTAAGTTCAAAGTTTCTAAATTAAAGTCTATATTTATGGTTGATAAAGTTAAATATAACTGTAAATATTTGTACTATTTTATTGTATTAATAAATTTTTGTAGATCTAAATTGATAATTAAATTTAAATTTAGCAGAATTGATTGTGGATTTGAATTTAAATAAAACTGTTTTATAAGAAACTGTGAGTAAGTCTAAATAAAAGGTAAATTGGGTAAGAGTTAAATAATTTCAAAAAAATGAGTATTTATAAATTGTGAAAATTGTAACTAAATCAACCAATGTTACTAATTTGAGTTCAATTCAAGTTAAAAACTAAATTAAATAAATTTTAATTTTTATACTAATATAAATAGAAGAAAAAAAAATTATTTAGTCATTTTATATTATTTTATAATAACATAATGCAAGTTATTCATCTAAATTGACTTAGGTATGAAATTTTTTCAAAATTTTTTTTATAGAAAGATAATTCAAAGTTAATTTTTACAAAAAGATAAATTAATGTAAATATTCTAAAATCAAATAATCAAGTAAGAAAATATTTTTATGTATTTTTTAACACCATAAATCTTTTACACTTAAATATTTAGCTTATTAATAAGTATATCAATAATCTACTTAAAGATTATATATTTTAATTATTTTTTTTAATTTAGTCCCTCAACATCTCAATTTTATTCAAGTTAGTTTCTATTTTATATATTTTTATTCAATTTAGTCTATATAACATGGTAAAAGTTTTTATTTGAAAATTGTTTTGATATGCTATGTGGCACTGACATGTTAGCATGGCTATATTATCATATTAGTGCCATGTGACATTGTCACATCATCATGCTAATGCCACGTGGCATGCCACATCATCACATTACACCATGTCAGCATTACTTCAGCGTTGACGGCATCTCCTTTAACAGTAAAATTAGATACTATTAGAAGGAATGACTAAATTAAAAGAATTTTCAAAATCAAGGAATTAAATTGCTTCGATTTTGAATACATAATTTAAATTGAATAAAATTAGAGAGTATAGGAATTAGATAAGCCTTTTGCCTATTTATAATTAGATATTATTTATACAAATTTTGATATAAAATATTATAATATATAAGTTGTGTCATTAATTTTATGTATACATAATAAAGTAATATATTATACATATACATATATTTAATTTATTCATAAGCATTATTGTAATTTATAACAGACTTTATTTATATGATTACATTTAATAATTTTATTAGTTATCATCTTAATTTTTATAACATATTGTTTATAATTAGTTATTATTTATACAAACTTTGATATAAAAATTAAAATATTATAATATATAAGTTGTGTCATTAATTTCATATATATAATAAAGTAATATATTATATATATACATATATTTAATTATAAATAATTTGTATATTTTATAATTATGGATGAAGTTTATAGATTTTAATATTATAATCTGTAAAAAAAATGATAAAATTTTAGTTTATTGGTCCAAAACCAAATTGACCAAACCAATTTTATATTTGGTCGGTTTGATCTTTCTCTATATTTGGTAAGTTTGGATCAGTTTTTTAAAAATATTTAATTTATTTGATCTTTAGGTATGATGGATCAAATCACTCAATTCATCCATTTACTCACCTTTACAAGACATGGTTATCGAAAAATTACTATAGTGTATAATTCGATTATTTTTTAATATAATATTATTAAATTAAATACTTAAATATTTGATTATTTATAAAAAATAAATATTTATAAAATTGTTATAATTTATCATTTTTACACCATTTTGAATAATCAAATAATTGATTATCGAACAAAATAATGTTATTCTTTAACTTAATGAAAAGTATGAACTCAATTATTCATTTTTTGATAAAAAAAATACGAATTCATCTATTCTTATTATGTCATTATTTTTTATTGTATCAAACACAATGCTTAACATTGAATTTTTTAAAAAAAATAAAATACAAAATGCACATGTAAAAAAATTTAACTTAAAATATATGAGCAATTTGGATATTGTTATGAAATATAACATTATTTGAATATTGTTATGAAAAATAACTGAACGAATAATTAAGATAAAGTATTTAAAGGGAATAAGAAGATATTAGTCAAGTGTGTATTTACAAATTAAATAAAAAATCTATTTATAGGCGAACAATTTCTTAAATCATAATCTTAATCTAATTCTATTTAAGAATTCAAATCAAATTATATGGTTATTTGACTTGATTTGTATTTTTTTAAATCATAACATAATAGACATTCATACATTTATTCATAATAGATATCAACTAATGAAAGATAATTAATGAAAGATTGATTTAAAGTTTGTTCAAAGCTAAATGACTTGAAGAATTCAAAATACCATCACCTCGAATTGATGCTAATTTTGAAACACATTCCATGTCAAATGGATTTTAGGAATTTCCAAGATTTCAATGATTCCATGAAAATATAGCCAACATAGTTAGGTTTTGTTTGTTACAAAACCTAAGCATGTTGAAATGTTATTGCTTCGCAGCTACAACCAGCTAATTATCCCACTAAATGAAGCCGGTGGGCATATGGCCGTCAATAATATCATCGAGGGACAGCAATATTTTAATTAGTTCTAAACTACAAAAGTGATAATAACAAAAATTTCGCGTATCTTCCCGAAATTCTTCGGTCTCATTGTCCTCAACCCATTGGTGAACCACCACGTGTGGTAGGCTAAACCTGCATCCCATCAGAATCAACCACGCGTTGAAGCAGCCAAGATGGCAGTGGACTAATTAGACTAAGCAAATCTTGAAATGTTTCAAGGGTTGGGGAGGCAAATTAAAGAGTTGATGGTCACGAATTTTGACACCTGCCACGTGTCAGTCCACTTGTGGGTCCCTTGAAGCACTTAGATATCCCTCCCACCACCTTATAAAAGGCCGCCCTGATCAGCTTCATTTCAACAAACCAGAGCTACTCTAGCTTGCGATATCTGGGTAGTCTTTTAGTCTTAACATCACTATCTCCGAAAGCAGCTCTAATTTGCAGCAAATCTATTGAAATACCGACTTAGATTATTGAAATGGGTACTACAGCAGAATATGAGTGCCCGCGTCGAGTGCCGGTTCCTCCTTCCAAACCATTTCTCAAGTCATTACAAACTAGTCTCAAGGAGACTTTCTTCCCTGATGACCCTTTTAGGCAGTTCAAGAATCAACCGGCCTCCAGGAAGTTTTTGTTGGGATTACAGTACTTTGTACCAATCCTGGAATGGGCTCCTCGTTACACTTTCGACTTCTTCAAGGCTGATTTGATTGCTGGTATCACCATTGCCAGTCTTGCAGTTCCTCAGGGGATAAGCTATGCAAATTTGGCCAGCATACCACCAATTATTGGACTCTGTAAGTTCTTTTTAATGTTATGAATAACCATGTAACCTTAATCTAGTAGAAAATGTGATATCATGAACTTGGATTAATGCAGATTCAAGCTTTGTTCCGCCGCTGGTATATGCCATGTTGGGGAGTTCTAAAGATTTGGCTGTGGGGACTGTGGCTGTGGCATCACTGCTAATATCTTCTATGCTGGGCAAGGAGGTTAGCCCTACTGAGAACCCCAAACAATACGTTCAGTTAGTCTTCACGGCTACTTTCTTTGCTGGGCTGTTCCAAGCTTCCCTTGGCATCTTAAGGTAATATTAGTTTACACTTTGTCTTGTTGCTTAAGTTTTAATTAAGGTCATTAGTCCTTTAATCAAAAAGTTAGTTGTGGACAAAGACTGAAGAAAGATTAATTAGCTAATTGGCTTTTTTCTAAAACATTCTCAATTCCTTGATTAGTTGATGACTACATGGTGCTGTAATTATGTGCTAAAATATTGCAGACTTGGATTTATCGTGGATTTTCTGTCACATGCAACCATAGTGGGATTCATGGGTGGAGCTGCCACGATTGTCTGTTTACAGCAATTGAAAGGGATGCTTGGTTTACTCCATTTCACACATGAGACTGATCTTGTATCCGTTATGCGCTCAGTTTTCGGCCAATTTCACCAGGTTAATTTAGAACCGTTTCTTTTTTGCTAAATGATTAAATTTTAACCATTAATTGTTCATGTTAACATATATATATATTTCTTAGTAATATTGAAATGATTAAGATATTAATTCTATTTGTGGTGGTTGCAGTGGAGATGGGAGAGTGCTGTCTTGGGCTGTTGTTTCCTTTTCTTCCTTCTCCTGACAAGATACTTTGTGAGTGCAATGTACCCTCTTTTACTTTTGAGTAATTTCCATTGAAAGTTCGTTAATTCTTCATTTTTACGAGAAAAAAAGGAAGCTATTAATATCATAATTTGCCTAGTTGTTGCTGTCAAAAATGTATGCAAAATCAACCCTTCCAACCAACCCAATAATCATAACGTTGAGAAAAGGATGAGTTTCTTTAACTGCAAGGCTATGGCGTAAAATAAATCAACTAGAAATAACTTAATTAGAGTTTTTAATGAGTGATGATTTTTGGCTATTTTACACTCAATATATATATACATACATACATATATATATATATATATA